TCAAGTCTGCAAATTCACCTTCTCAATGAGACCTACATAGACAACCAGTAAATACAGGGTTGGATGTCCAGGCTTCTATTCCCTACCATTGGTTTTCCTTAAATGTCTGAATTCTTTGAGCATATGTATGTGTTTATGGAGGAATTCAATTTGCACAGATAGATGAGAAAATCAGTTTCTTCAGCAGTAACATATGCCTGCATTACAGCTCCTTTTTCAATAGGAGCTATCATTTCTTGTAAGTTGTCAGGGCATTTCAACCTGCAGGCAACTGCAGTTAAGTATTTAATTAGGATGCAGAAATTATTGCTCCCTACACGTCAAAATATGGTTTTATTTACTCTGGGAGTGGAGTGTTAGTATTACTCAACACCACCCTCTCCACCACCAAGTGAAAATTCACCTCTGTTCAACCTATCATGTCATCTCAATGCCCACAACTGTGGAGCCTGCCCAGAAATAATCTTTTTCTTTGAAGACTACACTGAGTCTCTGACCTTAAGAAAAAGCTGTCGACAGTTTACCTGAATGAAAAAGGGCAAGGGTTCCCAATGCAGCTCTTCAATGAATTAACATAATTGAGCTCTGGCCCATTTCTTCACCAGAAGTCTTGAGACTTAAAAGCTTCTCTAGGATACCTTAACTATGGTTCTTGGATTTACCTCTCTCTCAATTTAACCTGTTTGCTTTCTTTTATATCATGCCTCCAAACTCTTGGATGTTCTTTTATGTTATAAGCATGTTCATGGCTTTGTTTAGATTAGATCTTAAAGTGCCTGAAGAACTATGGACTGAGGTTTGTGACATTATACAGGAGGCAGTGACCATCCTCAAGAAAAAAATGCATAAGGCAAAATGGTTGTCTGAGGAGACCTTACAAATAGCTGAGAAGAGAAGCTAAAGGCAAAGGAGAAAATGAAACATATACCCATTCGAATGCAGACTTCCAAAGAACAGCCAGGAGATAAGAAAGCCTTCCTCAGTAATCAGTGCAAAGAAATAGAGAAAAACAATAGAATGGGAAAGTCTAGAGATCTCTTCAAGAAAATTAGAGATACCAAGGGAACATTTCATGCAAAGATGGGCTCAATAAAGGACAGAAATGGTATGGACCTAACAGAAGCAGAAGATATAGAGGAGGTTGCAAGAATACACAGAAGAACTGTACAAAATAGATCTTCATGACCCGACCCAGATAACCACGATGGTGTGATCACTGACCTAGAGCCAGACATCCTGGAGTGCAAAGTCAAGCGGGCCTTAGGAAGGATCACAAGAAAAAAGCTAGTGGAGGTGATAGAATTCCAGTTGAGCTATTTCAAATCCTGAAAGATGATGCTGTGAAAGTGCTGCACTCAATATGCCAGGAAATTTGGAAAACTCAGCAGAGGCCACAGGACTGGAAAAGATAAGTTTTCATTCCAACTTCAAAGAAGGGCAATGCCAAAGAATGTTCAAACTACTGCACAATTGCACTCATCTCACACGCTAGCAAAGTAATGCTCAAAATTCTTCAAGCCAGGATTCAACAGTACGTGAATTGTGAACTTCGATATTCAAGCTGGATTTAGAAAAGGCAGAGGAACCAGAAATCAAATTGCTAACATCCGTTGGATCCTTGAAAAAGCAAGGAAGTTCCAGAAAAACACCTATGTCTGCTTTATTGACTATGCCAAAGCCTTTGACTGTGTGGATCACAATAAACTGGAAAATTCTGAGAGATGGGAAAACCAGACCATCTCACATGCCTCCTGAGAAACATGTATGCAGGTCAAGAAGTTAACAGTTACAACTGGACATGGAACAACAGACTGGTTCCAAATCAGGAAAGGAGTACTCAAGGCTGTATATTGTTACCTGCTTATTTACCTTATATAGAGTACATCATGTGAAATGCCAGACTGGATGAAACACAAGCTGGACAATTGCTGGGAGAAATATCAGTAACCTCAGATATGCAAATGACACCACTCTTATGGCAGAAAGCGAAGAACTAAACAGCCTCTTGATGAAAATGAGAGAGTGAAAAAGTTGGCTTAAAACTCAACATTTAGAAAACTAAGTTCATGGCATTCGGTCCCATCACTTCATGGGAAGTGGAGAATGAAAATAAGCGATTTTATTTTGGGGAGCTCTAAAATCACTGCAGATGGTGACTGCAGCCATCAAATTAAAAGACACTTACTCTTGGGAGGAAAAGCTATGACCAACCTAGACAGCATATTAAAAAGTAGAGACATTACTTTGCCAACAAAGGTCCGTCTAGTCAAAGCTGTAGTCTTTCCAGTAGTCATGTATGGATGTGAAAGTTGGGACTATAAAGAAAGCTGAGCACCAAAGAATTGATGCTTTTGAACTGTGGTGTTGGAAGACTCTTGACAGTCCCTTGGACCGCAAGGAGATCCAACCAGTACATCCTAAAGGAAATCAGTCCTGAATATTCATTGGAAGGACTGATGCTGAAACTTCAATACTTTGGCCACCTGATGCGAGGAACTGACTCATTGGAAAAGACCCTGATGCTGGGAAAGATTGAAGGCAGAAGAAGGGGACGACAGAAGATGAGATGGTTGGATGGCATCAACAACTCGATGGACACTGAATTTGAGCAAGCTCTGGGAGTTGGTGATGGACACGGAAGCCTGGCATGCTGCAGTCCATGGGGTCGCAGAGTCGAACATGACTGAGCGCCTGAACTATGGCTTCATTATATTTTGTCATTGGAACCAAGGCAGGAGACAACCATGACTGACTTTATTCAATATGTCACATGGAACTAAAGGTGCCAGCATTAACATGAACAATATAAACTTGAGAGACCTACTGCTGATACACATTTCTGTATTCTGTTCAACAGTGGTCTCATTTCCCCCTAGTGAGCTTTTATTTTGAAAAACTAAAATAACTACTTCATGAAAGTACAAATTCTTAGTTGACCTTAGGCAACCTAAATTTTCAAGGAACTGATCTCAGAATTGGATCTGAAATTTAGAAGAGAAAACTGCCTACCAATTTAGAGCACCAAAAGAACTTCAAACCTACCACATGCACTACAGTACCCAATGCAAGACATACTCTATCCCCAAAACTTGAAGAATTACACAAGTTAGCTCAAGAAAAACATAGTCATTTGATGTTACTATTTTATGTAGAAGGAAAAAAAGTGACAGATTTTGACTTATATAAGGAGTATAGATTAAGCTATCATATTGGTCATTGCATAACTACAGGAGTTGACCATTCTCTTTGCACATTCAACCTATACAAACTATAAAGAAAAAAATCCTAAATTACACAGGAAACTGATTACTGGTCTAATTTCTAGTTGCTTACACACCTATAGATTATCTAAGCATCTTTCTTTATATTTAGCTTGTATCTTAAGTGTGTATGACTCACCTTGCATTTTCCCTTTTGCAAAAGTATGCCGAAGAGCCAAATGGGAGGTTTACAAAGGGGGGGGGGGGGGCGCGTCAAATAAATGTTTAAAACCAGGTAAAATAATCCTTCATGTTTGTGATCTGAAGTCTTTTGCTTTTTTTTTTTTTTTTTTTGCCTCACTTGTTCTGTTTAATAGGCCACAGAAAATTTTTAGACCAAAATTCAAGGCAGGTGATTTTCTTATCATCAAATGAAAGTAGTATGTATAACTTTTAGGAACTAATAAAGGTACATAAATACATCCATTTTCTTCACAGATTCTAAATTAAGGATGATTACTAACAAATATAGATTCATGCAGTCTGCTTTTTCCCAACCAGGCCTGAAGAGGAAAGAACCAGTGGCAAGAATACTTGCTCCTAGCAAGCAAATATACCAAAATTAACAAAATCTTCAAACTTCTAGAATACGGTCTATGATCAGTATTAGAAACTCAATTGCAGCTCAATTGCTTATATACCCTCAGAACTGCAGAATAAACTTTTAAGAATAAAATGACAACAGAGATCATATTGTAAATATTATATTTCTCTCACTCACAAAGCTGTATGAGATATTTACTAGTTTTAATATGTATCCATAGGGTGAGTACTCATATGGAGTACAACATGGAACAAGTGCAGAAGAAATAAGTCCATCTGAAAACAAAAGCACACATTTCTTAGGATTTAAAAATATTGCACATAATAAGGTTGCACAGAAATTACTGGCTGTTTTTATAAACAGAATGAGGTATTAGTCAATCTCTAAAGATGAGTGCAAAGAAGAAAAAACACACACACAAAAAAACACATAAATCCACACTAAGACCTAGAGGGCCAACAACTAAGAAAGAAATGTGAAAAGATGTGTAAAACAGCTATGACTTCAACACTACAAAATCATTAGGCAGGGATCAAACAGGTAACAATCTCTTGGCAGTATTTCTTAAGTTTTCAACCTTCTTTTGGTCTTAAAGACTGAACAACACAATCATTTCCTTTACTCCAATTCTTCTGCATGGTTTTGTGGTAAATATTAAACCATACTTTTCTCAAGCATTCAGTGGAAATTAAACAAGATAGTGCTTTGTCATCCTTTGCTGAACAACTGAATTATACAGTTTCACATACATTTTGCAACCTAAGTCAGAGATGCTACAGAGCATGCAATTTTAATTTAGCAAAGGTTTCACTCCAAAAAAATCATTCATGTTCACACAATTTAAATCTAGAATAACTTTTAAAGTTTAACCTTTAAATATTCATTAGGCAAACTCAATTCTTTCCTTGGTAATGAAACTGGTCATGTTAATAAGCCCAAGGACAAGTAGATAAAAAAAGACCAGGCAGAATTATAATCTTTTTTTAAAGAACCTTGTCTAATCAGGGAAAGTAATTAGCTATTGGTCTCCTAATTAAATGTTGCTGAATTATCAAAAACAATTTAAATATATTTAATATCTATATTAAGTGAAATCATGCACTTGTCAAAATAGTTCACAAAAAAATTCTTTCTGCATCAAAGATACTGAAGAGGAGTCAACTAATCGGGTTTAATGAGAACAGAAAAAGACCCAACTACTGTCCTGAACAGTCAGTGTATGTAGTAACCATATTTCCTCTTCGTTGAGTGACAGTCCTACAGTGCTTGCTAGATCCATGGAATCTATTTTCAGTCTGTACTGTATGTCGATTGTTGGTGGTGTCAAAACCACTAAAAGAAAACATTTTCTCCATATCTTCAAACATGTCATCAAACAAACCACCTCCAAAAGAAAACTCCTGGAAATGGTGCCTTTGTCTACTGGAACCATCCTGGCGTGTCTGGAAGTGATTTTCAAAATGCTTCTTCGACCGAGTATTTTGGTTTTGACCAAAAAAATCAAAGTCCTTAAATAAGTCATCAAAATTGAAGTTAAATGAGTGCTCAAAAGGACTTCCACTAGCTCTTTGTCCTTTACCATTAGTAAAAGCATTATGTCCAAGTGTATCATATTCTTTTCGCCTATTAGCATCTGAGAGAGTTTCATATGCTGAAAAGAAATAAAAATACTTTAGTAACTGAAGAGAAACAAAATTACATATGTCCAAACCTTTTAAATTTATCTATTTCATTACAGATTTCACAGCACAAATAAAACCAAAGCCTACAAGCATAAAAGTAAAGAGTCACAAAAGGAAGACTTTTTGTCTTATCCACTGTATGCTGTCAGCAGTAAGCACAATACCTGCCTCTAGTATCTATACAATAAATGTTAAACAAATGCTACCATTACTAAAAAGAATTATATGGGCAACAATTTCAGAGTTATTCTTCATACTATTTGTGTAAAATCACTGCTTGCATTAAATAATTTAATGAGAAAATTAAGAGGAATTCAGATTTTTCACCTCCTTACTAGTTGAAGTAAATGTTTAACTCCAACTCCCCGTTACCACCACCCGACATTAACTACTGAATGCTCAGGAGATGCAACCTGTTTCAGAATTAGTATTAAGTCAAAACTTGTTTAACACTTTTCCTTTAAAGACAAATGTGGCTTTGAGATGTAGACCAAGTGAAGAAGGAAAAAAAAAAACACGGCATTTTTTTTATGCTCAATAATTTTGTTTAATCTCCATACTTCATAAAAACTTTAAATTTGAGGTATCTAAAATTCCTTCTAACATAGAAACAATGAGCAATTTTATAAAGAATAAAAGAATGAAATAATACATTTTCAACACTTTTAGATCTGAATGCCCAAAAGAGTATATACTTCCATACATCCAGGATCAAAATGTTATAAGAAAACAGCCTTGAGACTCTCACTACATTTAAGTATACATCCCACTTTATCTCTCATCTCCCACAAAACCTTCAAATGCATACAAACTTCTTACCTATCATTCTCCTTTACTACTTAATACCTTTGAGATCTTGGAGATAGTCATTTACATACCTTCTGCAATCTCTCTGAATTTTGCTTCAGCATCAGGGCTTTTATTTTTATCAGGATGGTATTTCATGGCCAACTTGTGAAAGGCCTTCTTGATTTGGCGCTCTGAGGCAGACTTTGGCACACCTAAGATATCATAGTAACTTCTGGAAGCCAAAATTAATTCAGTTATCATTAGAATGCAGATTGCAAAGATGAAAACTGATTGGGGAGTAGCCATTTCTAATATCCTAAAAAAGAAAAGAAAAAAAAATATGGAACTAATCTTTAGATTTTTCTTTTAGAAGGAACTGAATGAGTTTTTAGGGTTTAAAGTACACTAATGCAGTACCAAAATGTTAAGCATGTATAATGTATCTTGTACTTGTTTCCCTGTTATTTCATTTGTACAGGCTTTACACTCTGTAAATTGGTACTAATCTTGAAAGCAAATATAATTCAACCAAATTGAGAAAAATCTTTCATGGCTTTGCCTTTCCACTAACACTCTGGCCATAAACAGATACAAAAATATTCAGCAACTGATATTTGATCAGTTACTATCAAAGCCTCATTACATGCAAACCTTGTAAAAAGGCTGGAAAATCAAAATACTTTTGAAAGAATCTTAATCCTCAAGAATGTGTATTCTAAAGGAGTTTAAAAAAATTTATCGGGAAAAAAGTTAATTACCAAGGTAAATAGCCCCGTATGTCTAAATTAGCAGTAATTTTCCCTCCCTAAGAAATAAGTTTCCCAGACGGCTCAGTGGTAAAGAATCAGCTTGCCAAGCAGAAGACGCAGGTTCAGTTCCTGGGCCGGGAAGATCCCCAGAGAAGAAAATGGCAACCCCCACCAGAATTCTTGCCTGGAAAATCCTATGGGCAAAGAGAAACCTAGCAGGTGACAGTCCACAGAGTGGCAAAAGAGTCCGACACAACTTAGTGACTCAACAGCAACAAAGAAAATTTTCAGTTTTCATTGCGGTAAAAGGAGGCAAGGATTGCACTTAAGAGAATCTCAATATCACAATAATATTGACAACTCAATAGAATGTAATCTCTTAAAAAAAAAAAACTGTAAGATCTCAAATATTTAATAGAAAAGCATGGATATATGTTTTGTTAAAAACTCATAATTAACAAAATTTAGGATTTCTGCTAAGGTTGCAAAAAAAAAAGAACTTTCATAGTTTGTACTACAGATAAGGTAAACTTACTTTCAAACTTCTCAGGAGTCATTAAAGTATTTCTCTAACCTCAATGAAGTTTCCACCTGGAATACAACTTGAAACTCTCAAGACTACAGATTAAATGGTTCGCTATTCAAAAAGAATTGATCCTGTTTTTTCAATATAGGAGAGCTTAAAAACCTAAGATGACATAACACGGCTGACGAAAGACACTCTGATTTGTGGAAACTGCCTGCCTTCCTCTCCTGTGGCCCGTTTGGAGCGTAATTAGCAGACAGATCACTTCTTTCCAGAGTTAGTCACAGTCACGGGTATCAAGGATCAAGTACAAACTCCTGGTTAAACGAACACAAACCGAGCATGTACTGAGGCCGTTCTCTAGCCAAAGGGCGAGTCTAACACTGGCAGAGAGGTACCTTCCTGGTTTAATAAACTTCATTTCACAGTTTCAAGGTGAATATCCCATACTTTCCTAGAAGCTTGACTGCCTTAAACTGACTCCTCATTCCTAAGAGGGACCCAGCGGGCAGTCCCGTGGGTCTCTCTCCCCAGAGCCGGTGACTGCTTGGGCTAAACCGTCAGCCCTCACCCACACTCGCCCTAGCAGACCAGATGCAGCCGTTGGCTTGTAGGGCTCGGCGTCTCACCCGGGGTCCGGCCTTGAGAGGAGCTGCCCGACGCCCGAAAAAGCCAGGGGCACAACCCCACGACAAATCGCACTACGCTGTTTCTGCCTTTCCCCTACTCTTTTCCTCAAGAACACCGGGCAGCCCGAAGCCCTAGCGGCGATCGTAGCGGACACCGAGGCCTAACCCCCCTCCCCGAGACCTCGGCCTCGTCTCTCGTCCGCAACCTCCGGCTGCTGCTGCTCCTAACCGGGACACTGACCAGCGACTCCACACGGCCGCTCGGCTCGGCCTTCACCCCGGCCTCAGCAGCTTCCGTGAGCCGACACGCGCCCACTGCCTCCTGTGCGCCGACCTCACACTCCTCTGGTAGCCGAGTTCCCGCACAGCCCGCTCCCCACTGGCTGGCGGGTAGCTGCGGGCGCCTACACCCCAGGAGAAGACCTACACGAAACGCTTTCCTATTGGCTCCCGCCTCCCCACCTGACCCTGGCGCCCTACGCGCACGTGGAAAACTGTTGTTGCTGATCAGCCCATGCGTCACTTCCGGCCCCAACCCCAGATAGTGCTGAGGCGAAGCCGGCGGAAAGGGAAGTGAGTTCAGAGTTGCCGAGTCTTCCCATTCCACCGCGCCTGGCGCAGGCGCGATACCTCGGGGGGCAAGGACTTGCAGCCCCGCCTCGGGGAGGAAGCTCCGCCTGCGCCCCTTGGCGGCTCGGGTCTTGTGGCTACGCGGCAGCGATGCCCCGCTATTGCGCAGCGATTTGCTGTAAGAACCGCCGGGGACGAAATAATAAAGAGCGGAAGCTTAGTTTTTACCCGTAAGTTGCCCCTAACGCGGAAGCTTCAGCTTGCCTTTGGGTCGCAGTCCTGTGGCATTTGGGGTTAGTTTGGCGTCCCTCCTGTCTGCTCTGTAAATTTGTCCTCGGATCTCCGGGAGTGTTTGATTTCTGCTCAGGAGGAGGACGCAAAGGCGCGAGTTGAGTCTACCTGGAAATGTTCTGACATTTCTAGGGAGGAAGCTGGGCGTGTGGCGAGGTTTAGGGGTCTGTTGGGGGTGTTAATAGGGCATTTTAAGCGGTAAAGTTTGAGCGATGCTTCTGGTTTTCAGAGCATTTCCCCACCTCTCCTGACCTCATTTCATTGAACACTAATCACTTCAGATGCATCAAACGTGCCGAATGGGAAGGTGCCCTCCAAGTTATCTTACACCTCCTGTGAGTTAGGTCGCGTAGATGTTATTCCATTTTCTTCTGAGAAAACTGAGGCTTTTCAGAAAAGATCAGGTAACTTACCTTGAAATTTTTGTGGCAGAGGAGGAATTATAATCTGTCACCTGCTTAGGGCTCTAGATAATTCTTCATTCGTACAGAGAGCAGGTAAGTGAGGGCTAACAGGTTTTCCCCGCTCTCCCAACGTAGAGCGTTCCTAGGAAGGCTTTCCGAAGCGAGGAAACAATTGCTTTTATTTCGTAAAAGCGAAAAATTTGTTTGGGCCCTGTTAGACCTAACTTTCCTAAAATTGAAGTGGCAGAAAGCAAACCCTGGAGAAATAGGGAATATACCACTTTATTCCAAATTACTGTTTGTATTTCAAATAACTATAGCCACGAAATATTTTTTGTGGAAGCCCAAAAGTGCTCATTTTTATTTGGAACAATAAGGAAGAAGTATTGTGTACTACTTACTAGTAAGAGACACGGCTCCAAAGCCAGATCTAGGTTCAAATCCTAGCTCCATCACTTTGTAGCTGAACGACCTGTAAATTATTTAACCCTGCTACCTAAGACCTTCCGTCTGTAAAGTGGACACGTTAATAGTACCGAATTCACACGTAGCGTCTAAAAACATAAAAGAGCACTTGGCATTCATAACATGCTTCGTGTTTGTGAAGAATCAACGTGTTTAGACTATTCTATAATTTCCTTTATTTATGTGAAAGTGTTCGTCGCTCAATCGTGTCCGACTCTCTGCGACCCATGGACTGTAGCCCACCAGGCTCCTCTGTCCATGGAATTCTAAATAATTTAGCTCTAATGTGAGTGTCTTTAAGTTTTTTAGCAGTTTCACTAGCTATCTTGTGAAGTTTTTTTGACTTCAGACCTAAAGCTCGTCGTTCAGTAATGACTCCTGCTTTCCATTATCTTACCTAGTGGAAAAAAAAAAAACAAAAAACTGATAACTCCAAATGATTTGCACTATGTGCCATATTTCCAGAATTATCTTCCTTGAAGCCCTTCCACAGGTTGCAGAGATAATTTAGGGGGATAAACATACTCTGGTATATGAATGTCACTGGCTCTGAGGAGGTTTGTAGCAAAGAATCATGTTGAACTTAACACTATATTTCCCATATTTATTTGGCCTTGGATTTGGGGGGCTCATAACCTCAGGCTAGGACTTCTTTAGTCTTGTGGACTGCATAGTTACTATTTTTAAGGAGGGAAAAATAATAATGCCAGAGAAAGTCAATTATAGATTTTTATTCTTCAAAATGTGAATTTACTGAAAATGGAACTTTTTATTGACTTTTTAAAATTTCATGTGTAATCTGCAAAATAAAAATTGAGTTAGTTTCAGTCCCCTAATAGCATCCAACTTGGAGAATTTTCTTACACTGTAGCATGCTGCAGAATAAATTTATATTAATTAGGAAATTCAATGAATATAGTGCTCAGTTTATACCAGTGATTATTCTAAGTCCTATGAAAGTAAAATTCTTTTTGCCACGAAATGCCTTTTCTTATTATGCTTGTCATACTTGTAAGTTATTGATATATGTAAGGTTAAAAACCTTTCAAACTGTGTATGAATATCATATCAATGGTAAAAAACTTCCAAAAGCAGATAATCTGATTTTTCTATGGATTGATATCCGGGTTAAAAATTATTTCCTTTGACGAAGCACCCGGACTCTTTTCATCTAGCATCTTACTAAGTTATCAATATTTTTTTTATAAGATCTTACACTACAAAGCATAAATGGTTGTGATTGGGAGGAATGTATAACAGCTGCTTTTTGTATGAGAACCTTTTATGTTACTCCTTTTTAAAAATAGGAAACTATTATCTAGTATGTGTCTTGGACTGTGTTCCTATAAAATCTTCAAAAGATGTATAAATCACTGTTGTTTAATAGTTTAATTCAAACCTGTTTACACTGGTAGAATAAAGTTTTCTATCAAATTCTGCAGCAAGTCCAAATTTTACCCTAAAACATGTTGTAGTGTGTTAGAGCCAACTCTGAATATCCAGGCTATTTGGTACAGGAACAACACGTATAAAGAGCTGTCTTGCCTTTCTCTGTCTTTTTTATTTGTTTCCTGTTATAAAATATGAGTCTTCCCTCTTAACATGTTTAGTTTTCTTTCAGAACTTGAATACTTGAATTTTAGAGTTCCCAATCCACTGGCTAAAGAAGACT